ATGAGGTCAACACCCTCCTCCATATCTCTCTGGCTGTCCTATAGATTGGGAACTATTCTCCATCATTCGTGGTTGTGGAATTTATTAACCTTGACATAGCCATGTGGTTGTTTGTTTTCCGGGTTCGATATTTAGAATTAGGTATATCTAGAGCTGAATTTTTGCATGTGAGATGTCCATCTTTCCATTTTTCATAGATGTACGTAAAGATAGACGGTCATATTTGAGAAAATTATGGTCATGCAGTTTATGATTTGTGATTAGTGAGGAATTTTTCAGATATGATCGGGACTGAAGGTATATCAGACCTAGAAGTAACTTTTTAGGGAGAATATTGTGAGGTCATGCTATGTTTGGCCATGATAAGATTGTGAAGTCCGACTCGAGAAGACTTGCTACTAACGAAAGTGTGAGGACACCTTGTTTGACTGCTCTGTTGGATGGGCGAACTAGAAGTAGATGGAGATGCACGACTCTCGATTTCCACAAGTTTGGCAAAGGGCACGATATGGTTGGGTCATTTGTAAGCAGAAACTCGTGATAATATGGCAAAATGGACAGTGCTTTCTCAGTGAACCACGACCGAATAGATCACTGCTCATTTTACTTTCAGATGATTTTGTTTGCCTTTAAGTTCTACAATCTCTTTTGCAATAGAATACTTATCATCATTTACAAAGTATTATTTTTTGTAAATTAATTGAATTATTTTTTTATTTATATTTGAAATATCTTTAATTTACAATATTTTATGAAATTTGATACTAATATATATCTATTTAAATATCACAACTTAATTTATTTTTATTATATACTTAAATTATTACTATGATATAATATCTTTATTTGACATAAACTTAAGATTTAGTTAGTGAGTTTAATTTTTTCTTATTATAAAATAATTGACATTAAATTATTTATAAGTAAAATAACTCAGTTAAAATTTTTACTTGAATCAATTATTCTAATCTTCTAACTCGTTTGTATTTCTCCCTTAGAGAAGCGAACACGAAGTCCTTGTTGGCCCTCCTACCCTCAATAAATGTAACTCATTATTAACATCAAAAATATAAATTTAATATATGCATATATATATATATATATATATATATATATA